CGGGAGCCCGAACCATTTTGGTTCTCCCGTTAGTAGTGGGGAAGGGCTTATCCTCTTGTATAGCAGACTCAGACCTTCCCCACCTCCAGGATGAAGGCTCAGGGGGAAGCCGAGGGTGAGTGAGGGGGAGAGAGAGGGCGGGACACAACTATGGGATGCCTGCTGGTGAGAGGGGCTGCGGGCCGATGCCCCGTGGGCGCCACGCTCCGGAGGGCTCAGAGTCCAGGAGACGAGATGTGTGTGAGTTTTATACTCTGGCTGTGGCTTCCCCAGGTGATGGTGGAGTTCCAACTTTGGGGTGATGGGGTCTCCCAACTTCAGTGAAGGTTTCCTGTTCTACTAGGGGCAATCATTTGGGCTTCAGGACTCTTTTAGGCTAAAGTGGTGGGAAACCAGGCGAGTGAATCTAAAACTGCTTTTACCTTGTTTAAGAAGAGACGTCTGAATAGTGACATAAAAATGAATACAGAGCTGCGTGTAAAAATACTGGAGGATGTTTCGGCGTGAGTGAAACGATTAGGGTCTTATGATATTAAAAGTCAGCCGTTCTCTAGAATGTCACGGTGTTCAGACCTTGTGCTATTGTATATTTTTAAAATGCTTTGAATTTCATCCTTTCAATGGCTAAACTAACAACTGCTGAAAAACAACTTTTCTGTGGCACCTTTCCCACCTCCTCTAAAGTTCCACGCTCCAGTTTAAATTCTTCCTTAGCATTTGAGGCATAGTTCTACTAAAACAGCTCCTTGTATTATTATTGTTTACTTATCTTCTCCACTTTATTCTAAGCTTTGTAGATCAGGGATCCTTCCTTACTCGTCTTTATGTAGTCCCTGGCGCATAATAGCTGCTTCAAAAATGTTTGTTCATTTGAGCATCCAAGTAAGATGAATCTTGTTTTAGAAGGTCTTCTCCCCCTTGCCTCAACTCTGATTGATGACATTCTATTCATTTTTCAATGCCAATATCAACTGTTACCTTTTCTGTAACATCCCCACAACTGATTATGGACTTTTCTTCCTTTGAACTTAAGTAGTAAGGTGTTTCTGTTTTTAGGAGCATATCTCACTTTGCTTTGTGTGATGTTTGTTTTCATATTATCCACATCTCTCACATACATCATCTCAGACATGTTGTGTATTTTTGCATCTCCAGTGGTCTTTAGCACAGCTCCTTGCTCATACTAGGCAGCTTAAGAATTAGAGGAGGGTTCGAGGGCACATACTTAGTCCAGAAACCAGTCTTGTCTACCTTTCTCTTAGCTCTGCTGGAGAGTCATCCTCTGGCCATAGATCTCTTCCATATTTAAATGGCTAATAGACCCAGTTTTCTTTTTTTATAATATATTTTATTTTCTTGTTTATACACCGCAGAACATACACCAATGCAACAGTTTCTACACGTACGGTTCAGTGACATTGATTACATTCTTTGAGTTGTGCAGTCCTCCTTTTCTGAGTTATTCCTCCCCCATTAACATAAGCTGGCTGCCCCCTAAGTTTCCTATCTAATCTTTCTGGTTGCTATTGTTAGTTTGATTCCATATAAATAGATCTTAAAAGAGCACAGTGTTGAAGAGAGCCCGTTTTCTTGATCCCATTGCCGTGAGTCAACTCTGATTCATAGTGACTCTATAGGACAGAGTAGAATCTTTTACAGGGTTTCCAAGACTGTAAATCTTTACAGAAGCAGACTGCCACATCTTTCTCCCTCGGATTGGCTGGTGGCTTCAAACCGCTGACCTTTCAGTTAGCAGCCAAGCACTTAACCATTGCACCACCACGGCTCCTTTGTTTTCTTGATAGCACCTACAAATTGATCTCTCAAAATTATGTCAAAATATTAAGGAAGTCAGTATTTTCACATTGAATACCAATTACCATAGTAAGGCCATGTTCAAATGTATGCTCTGTGTATGTCATGCAAGGAGTTTCATGCATATCATGGAGTGACTTTGTCACTGAATTGTAGGCTTAATCCTGAATCATGATTAGAGACGGTCCTTCTTTTGGTTCCTATTAAAAATTTAAATAGATAACCCTCCTGCTGTATGGTATTCCTTAGGTCAGACCTGTAATTTATGTCTTCCCACCATTAAAAATAGTTTCTTTATGTTTTAAAGTAAATAATAATGAAAACTAGTTTAACTGAGTTCTTACTGGTGTGACGTATGGAGGTTTCTTTTGCAAGAAAAACTGTGGAAGGGCTTGATAAAAGAGTTTCTAATTATGTTTTCTGATTTATACCATAGAGTCAGAAAAGCTGAATAAGATGAGTTCTCTCTTGGAACGGCTTCATGCAAAATTTAACCAAAATAGACCTTGGAGTGAAACCATTAAGCTTGTTCGTCAAGTCATGGTGAGGATTGTGGTAGAGTGGGTAAAATGATGTGCTTAGGTAATCTGAGCTCTTTTGTGGGCTTGTTCAAACTATAGGTATAGTGTGTCTTCAGTTTTATTTATCATAAAACACAGATTCATGGTGGCTATCAACGTTAGGAATCTGCCTGAGAAGGAGGTGTATTTATGAAATTGTGTTAATTGTGAGTGCAGTGGGGTATTTCAGGCAGAAATGCTAAGTAATGCACCTATAAGGGGCACATTTGATAGACTAGTATAAAGAGATTATTATCACTGTGTGGTAATTCATGGATCTATTCACTTACGGTTTGTATACTTTCCTATATATATGTTATACTTCAATGAAAACACCCTTCGCCCCCATCTTACTTGAGTCCAGAATAAGTTCAGTATAATAGACTTATTAATGTTTAAAATGAACATATTAGTGATACAGCACTAGCAGAAGAACTGAATTTAGTGTCAAAAGACCTGTATTTTAGGCTTAACTCTAGGACTTATTACCTATGTGACCTTGGAAAACTTACTAGATCTCTGAGTCTCAGTTTCCTCATCTGGAAAATGGAGGCATATAATACCAGTTTACTTTTCCATATAGTTTTGTTGTAAGGATCAGATGAGATTATGGACGTGAAAATGTTGTGTTGCTAAAAGATTTCTGTAACTGTAAATTCTACCAATGCACGTATATCTTCTGACTCATTTTTGTGTGCATAGAAGATATTTTTTAAAAAATGTGTTGAATAAATGAATTGAAAATTTTCCAGTCTGGGAATTTAGAAGTTGTTATTTTTTGTACTCCAAGGCAGCCATATTCTAGTTTGAGATATGTTTTATTAACGATTTTGTCATTAGCGAGACATCATGAGATGGAGGAGTTCCAAGTGGCTACTCAGGCACTCTGTTGGGGTACCAGTCTCTTGGTTTGGTCACCATGGCCTCCATTGTCTACTTAACAGTTGTGTAGGTTCAGAAACCTAATTTTATTGGTACATCAGGCTTTTAAAACCTTTTAACAACAGACATACTAACCACATCACAGGAGATTAACATGTAAATCAGAACATCTGTTTATTAATTTACAACAGAGAGTTTATTTTGCTAATTACCAGAATACTGGTATCCATTTTTTCAGAGCATCGCTTTCTTTATTCAGGATATAAAGAGAGTCAGATTATTAATTAATGAGATGTTTGTTTTGTACCATAAACCTGTTCACTTTTGTGGGGACTGGAATATTTTGCAGAGAGATGCTTTCCTGGATTGGGTTAAAAAAACTGCTAATTTTTTTGTCCTTTGGGAGTCCCTCTCATGTACTACAAGTTCTATTTCTTGGCAAGGGTTTAATACAATTGATCGAGATTCAGCTCTAATCTAGTTTGAATAAGGTTTGGTTGCATTTCTCAGACTATATGTAAATTACGTTGTTAGATTTAGGAATTGCCAAATCTCCTGAGCTACCCCATTTAAATCTTACAATGCAGTCACTTCTACAGGAGGCTGATCTCATCTGTTAAATTTTGATTCTTCCTAATTTTTTCCCTTATTTTAGATCTGGGAATACCCTTTTCTACCCTGTGGATATGGAAGGACAGAGTAATAGTTAAGAGTCTACAGACTATTCTGAAATATTACTATTAGTATAATGCATATATTTGCATGAAACATTGTTGGTTTGATTAATTTTTGCCTCAAATATTTTCCTACTTGGCACACAGGAGAAAAGGGTCGTGATGAGTTCTGGAGGGCACCAACATTTGGTCAGCTGTTTGGAGACATTGCAGAAGGCTCTCAAAGGTTTGTAAGCACTTTTGAAATATGCTGATTTTTTAAAACTCGGTTTACGAACTGTTTTATACTTACACTGGAAATATAAATTGAGGTAGGTCAGCTTTCTATGCTGTGTGTTGCTTTGCTTTCATATATGGAGTTGAAATGAGCTTTTTCCTGAACTTTTGAAACAGTTATTTTTGATCCTCTTTTGGAGGTCTAGTAGAGACTTAAAGATAATTGATGACAAGTAACTGAGATAGCAAGGCAAAGCTCTTTTTTGTGTGTGTCACATGTTCTAATTAGCCCTTAATAAGAAAATGGATATTTTAACTTATCTGGAAGATTTTTACAACGTTTAGTGGCAATGTTTTGAGGAGAACAAATCATAAGGTTTTGAAATTGGTTATTCATGCTCATAATTACTAAATTTTATATTTTGGGAAAAATGAAAGTAAAAGCAGGTTTTACTTTGCTCCACCACAAATAAACTTAATTCATTTGAGTATTTGTTTATGTTGGATTTGATGTTAATCTTCTTTATTCTAGCGTTAGCAGATAAACATGTTTTTTTTTAGGTTAAATATAACTTGTCCCAAATAAGGGGCAATGAAAAAGGGAGAGGAGAAAAGTCCAATAATTTTTTCAAGTACGTAGATCCTTGTTTTGACACTTATTAATGCCTAGGCCACGGCTAAACCTTACTAGTGAACTTTGTGCAAATTACAGGCATTTGAACTGTTAAATATGTTACTGCTTTGGAAGGACAGATACATTCCTCAGGATGTTTCTGTGTTTCAAGAATACAATTATTTGGAGACTCAGTTGTGATTTCCTTTTTTGTCCTTTCATAGTAACATCTTTACCAGCAATGACTGACCGTTTGGAGTCGATAGCAAGACAGAATGGGTAAGTAGTCTATCTGTAAGCACAGATATTTACCTTAGTGTTGACTTTGGGTGGCTTTATTTATGTATCTTCTATTAATTTTTGTTTTGATTTGTTCCTGCTAGACTGGGCTCTCATCTCAGTGCCAGTGGCACTGAATGTTACATCACGTCAGATATGTTCTATGTGGAAGTGCAGTTAGACCCTGCAGGACAGCTTTGTGATGTAAAAGTGGCTCACCATGGGGAGAATCCTGTGGTACGTGTTGTTGATATTTCCCTGGAATCTGTGGGGTTTACTTAGGGACATTAACTTAAAGTGAACTGTTGCGGTTTTAAATAGCTTGGGTTTCGTTTTTTTCATGAGCCACTGTAGAGATGATGTGATGGGCTACAACATCAGTAGCTAGAGAATGGAATTTAGAATAATGTGGGTCCATTTCTGACATCATCCTAGGGCTTTTCACAAGGGGAAACACTGGAGGAGCCCTTTTCATTTCATATCAACAGACATGAGCCGCAAATTAACAATAGGTACTGGGGATAGGAAGATAAATAATTTGTGGTTCCTGCCCTCAAAGCACTCATAGTCAAGTAGGACAGATAATCTTGTACATAGCTAACTTCTCTGAAAAAATCCTGTGATAGAGATGAGTGTAAAATGTTGTGTAACCAGATAGTTGATGTGGATTCCAAGGATGACATTAAAGAGAGGTCCTAGTATTTCAAACAAGCTACTGAATGTTTATTTCTTTATAAACTATATATTTTTATTTTTAAGTTCCCATCTTAATCCCCATATTTCACCAAGTAGGAAGAAGATGTTTTTTGATCTCTTAATATAAGGACTTTCTGTAGTTTTGATGTTTTTGTTATAAAGCATGTGCAGTTACTAAAAGAGAAAAATTTCTGATGTCTTCAAAGTGTTACAGTAGTTTAATGTTTTAATATAATTTTAATTTCAGAGCTGTCCAGAGCTGGTGCAGCAGTTAAGGTGAGAAAATGACATTTCTGTTCCTTTATGTTGACAGACAATGTTTTTCTTTACAGCTAGGGTTTGAGACTAGTTAGAAGTTACTTTCCTCAAGAACAAATTTTTCAGACTCTGTACTTGCTCACTTTCAGAATTGTCTTAGCTTAGTTTCTTACCCTACTCAATCCATGCCAGGGTTTCTCAATTTCAGCACTATTGACATTTTGGATTGGAAAATTCTTTGCTGTGAAGGCCTACCCAGTGCATTGTAGGTTGTTGTAGCAGCATCCCTGGCCTCTCCTCACTAGTTGAGAGTAGTCTCCTCCAGTTGTGACAATCAAAAATATCACCAGACATTGCCAAATATCTGCTGGAGGGCAAAATCGCCCCTGATCTAGCCTTAGGAGTTCTGTGTGGAACAAAAATAAATAGAACCTAATCATTAAATCAGAGAGAGTTTGAGAAAATTGAACCAATACCATGAAAATAATTTTTTCTCCTTTCATTTTGAGAAATTATTTTACATTAAGGTGTATGTGTGATAAATTCCTGTCATAGTGGAAGTGCTAGGCTTGAAGACAGTTACTTTCAGTAAGTGGTAGCTTTTTCCACTAATTTATCTTTTCCCTTTGAATTGTATGGAAATTTCCATGCTTAAATTTAAACCCAGAATCAACTTTCTGGGAATTAGAGAAAATCATTGCATCAGTTTTGTGTTTTAAACATAGCAGAGTTCTTAGCTACAACATGGGATGTCTTAGAAAGGGTGTTAATATTGAGGAAATAAATTTTACACTCAGCCTTGTCAGTGATCAGTTTAGTGTCCTTAATGCCAAATGCACCAAATTTGAACCAGCTTCTAAAAAATTGTAATACAACAAAAAAATTAACCTTTTTATAATTTTATTGACTTGATAAGTCTAGCAAAGGTGAATTACTAGAATACTTCAAAAAGGGCCAATATTTCTGGCTCTGAAGTGGAGTAAAGGAGCCCTGGTGGTGCAATGGTTAAGTGCTTGGCTGCTAACCAGAAGGTTGGCATTTTGAACCTACCAGCTGCTCACAGGAGAAAAGACCTGGTGGTCTGCTCCTGGAAAGACTACAGCCTAGGAAACGTTAGGGAGCAGTCCTACTCGAACCTATAGGGTCTCTATGAGTTGCAATTGCCTCGACGGCACAAAATAAGAACAACAAAGTGCAGTAGGGGCCGCGTCAGCTTATGAATTAATGGTGTTTTAAAGTTAATTTGTAAACCTGTTTAGAAATGGAATTTCAGAAAGAATGTTAAATTGTACACCTTTTTTATTTTTAACTACGTACAGATGGTAATTTTAAGGCAAGGAATATATTTTGCTGTTGCTCTTGTTTCTTATTATCTTCTTGTCTATATGTAGTAAGAGCTCAATAATTGAATTTTAAAGTATCCCTCTAGAGAGAGAGAATCGTTGAGTTTTGTTAGCTTTCTAAGCCTGTCCATAAGAGCGCTCATTTAACTAAAGACTGAGAGTCGAAGCCTGAATATCGGGTCCTGAGAAGCCAGAGGTCATAGTAATAGGATTTTTTTCCCTTTGGGGCATGCCTGGTTGTAGGAATATTTTGGAATATGTGAAGTTTGTCTCCACCCCCTTCTCTCTAGGTCTCCTGTCTATCTCCTAATATTCATTTTTCTTCTCACCTCTTTGCTGTCATGTTGCCATAAACCTGCAAGTATTCTGTCTTCTCAGTTTATTTATTTCCCATTATCTCTCTTTTAATAAAAAATTTTATTTCCTCATTATATCTAATCTCAGTTATGTATAAGATGAAAGGAAAGTGACTTATTAAAACCAAGTCTTATTATTTCGGAGCTAATTCATTAGTATATGAATTATCGGGTCCTTTTGATCTCTATACAGCTTATTAGCACCTTCTACAGAAAAATGAGGCAGAGAGAGAAAGGGAAAAATTTCATTTTCTTTTGTACTTCTGATTAACTTTGGGAAACTTAAAAAGATTAAAACAAATGATTAAAACCAGAGTTTTATATAGCCATTATTTTTGGCTCTTTTCTGTAAGATCTAGTGGTAATTATATGTTGTAATTCTCCCCCTTTCCTTGAACTCCCTATAGGGAAAAAAATTTTGATGAATTCTCTAAGCATCTTAAGGGTCTTGTTAATCTGTATAATCTTCCAGGTGACAAGTAAGTATTTTTTTTTTTTTTTTTTGCTTTTTGGGGAAAAATCAGTATAAATCTAGAAGCAATTTTGTGCTTAAAAATTTGCCAAGTTTTCTGCCCTACCTCATTTTTGATTTCTACTTGTATTGACAATATGTAGTTAAGCTTCTGACTTTATATCTTTTAAATACACAGTATTTGCATTAGTGGATTACAATATCAGAAGACAAATGACTATAATCCTTGAAATGTCTTCAACATGTTGATTTCTAGGCTGAAAGGAATTAATTGTTGTGAAACTAGCTTGTCATTTTTATTAACCTACCTGGGATCCTGTTAGCCTGCTTGGGTCTTTAAACAGATTAAAATTGTCACTATTATTTATTTGTTTGTGTATTTTAGTTGCCTCCAGGACAGATTTGCCCATTATTTAGGCTTGCTATGTCTGTGTGTGTGTGTGTGTGTGTGTGTGTGTGTAAGAGAGAGAGAGAGAGTGTGAGTGTGAGAGTGTGTGTGTGTGTGTGTGTGTGTGTGTGTACTTAACTCTTGTTCTTGTTATCTACTCCCCAGCAAACTGAAGACTAAAATGTACTTGGCTCTCCAATCCTTAGAACAGGATCTATCTAAAATGGCAATTATGTACTGGTAAGACTGACTAAAACATTGATTCTATATGACCCTTCTAGGTACCTTGTTCTTTTTTTAAGTTTTTCATCCTGGGAATTGCTAGGATCCTGTTTCACTGTCTATCTTGTCCTTGTCCATTCCCTTTCAAATGATGACTGTATTCCATCTTCTGAGTAATAGTATCACCAGTTCATTTGTTGGTATTCCATAGGTTTTTATCTGAAGATTTGTCAAATCTGATCTCTCATCAGATAAATAATATGTTCATCATATTACTTACTGTTGTGTACTTGGAAATGATCCCTTTTCTTTGAAGGTGAAATATGCTTGCTATATGCCCGAATATAGAACAAAGTTGTTGGAAAGTGTCATAAGACTTAAGATCTGAACTCGGTATGAAACTACACTAAGACCTCAGGGCTTAAATAAAAGCAAACATAGATCATTTGTCTTGCAGGAAAGCAACCAATGCTAGTCCCTTGGATAAGATTCTTCATGGAAGTGTTGGCTATCTCACTCCAAGGAGTGGGGGTATGTGATCATATTTACATATTTAGAAAAATGTCTAGTTTTAGTTGAGGGGTCATTACTAATAATTTCACCTTGAGTTTATAAAGATAGCAGTGGTAAAAAACTACCAGTTTCTATTGGCAGTGGGTATTTTATAATGATTTCTAAGGTGTCAACACCTAACCTCCCCCAGTTTTTTTTGGTATGTTTGTTTGTCTAAACTGTGAAGTAAATTGTTCTAGAATCAATACTTTGGCTGCTGTCATACATCGTAACCTGCTTGGAGCATGACTCCTCGTATCTTTGAAAATAATTCCTTATGTATAGATTTACGGTAATGTGGATGTTTTTATTTGTAATTTACCTGATAAAGGTGCTTTGATGATTGTTATTTTTCATAGGTCATTTAATGAACTTGAAGTATTATGCCTCTCCCTCTGACCTACTGGATGATAAGACTACATCTCCCATCATTTTGCATGAGAATACTGGTAAGACTTAAACTGTGAAGTGACCCTGTGTACAACGGAATGAAAGACTGCCCGGTCCTGGGCCATCCTCACAGTTGTTGTTATGCTTGAGCCCATTGTTGCAGCCACTGTGTCAATCCATCTCATTGAGGGTCTTCCTCTCTTTCCCTGACCCTCTACTTTACCAAGCATGATGTCCTTCTCCAGGGACTGGTTCCTCCTGATAACATGTCCAAAGTATGTGAGATGAAGTCTTGCCATCCTTGCTTCTAAGCAGCATTCTGGCTGTACTTCTTCCAAGACAGATTGTTTAGTTCTTTTGGCAGTCCATGGTATATTCAGTATTCTTCGCCAACACTATAATTCAAAGGCATCAGTCTCGTTCGGTCTTCCTTATTTGTTTGCCAAGGTTTCACATACATACGAAGCAATTGAAAATTACCATGACTTGGGCCAGGTGTACCATAGTCCTCAAAGTATCTTTGCTTTTTAACACTATAAAGAGGTGTTTTGCAGCAGGTTTGCCCAATACAGTGTGTCTGATTTGTTGAGTGCTGCTTTGTTCACTGCTTAAAAAATACTTAAAAAAAAAAAATTGAATGCCTGGGCCTGCGTATACTCTTTGGTTTGCTACCTAATGAATTTGCTATCCTTACAAAAAAAAAATCATATTTGTGCCCCTACCTCCTGATATACACACACAGTCGATCCTCATTTGTGAATTTGCCTACTCGATGAAATTTGTTTGTCATCCCAAAATCAATACTGGTGGTAGTCTTGCAGTAATTTGCATATATGCTGTAAGGACAAATACAAATTAGAAGTAAGAAATCTATAAAAGGAGAGGCTTACCCTCCTTGTTGGAGAAAAGAGAAGAGACTGTCCCCATCCCCTTTTCTGAAGAGTATTTACTTTCGAAGGTTTGTAATTGTTAGTTCGTTCTATGACTCTGAAACATTATGTAAATCTTTTTAAAGGCCAAAATATAAATAAGCCCCTTGCCAGTTTTACAACCGAGGAATTTTTCCTCAAGGACCTGGAAGCCATTCCTTTGAAATGTAATCAGTCAAGGAAGGTAGCACCCCTAATCTTCTAGGGTAGGAGCCTAACTTTAGCTGGCACAAGTCTCCAAGTTGCAAACCTATCTCTGGTCATAAAGATATGAGAAATTGGTCCCAGACAGAGTGGAAGAAAAATGTAGAACAAAATTCAGTTTCACAGATAGAGACAGACTTACTGGTCTGGCCGAGACTAAAAGAATCCCTGAGACTCTGGCCCCTGGACACCCTGCTAACTCAGAACTGAAGCCACTCCAAAGTCCACCTTTCAGCCAAAGATTAGATAGGCCCATAAAACAAACAGTAACAAACGTGAGGAACGTGCTTCTTAGTGAGACCAAATGGGCAACACCTGTCTAAAAGCAAAGACAAGGCGGGAAGGGACAGGAAAACTGGACGAATGGATGCAAACCCAGGATGGAAAGGGAAAGGGGGAGAGTGTTGACACATTGTGGGGATCGCAACCGATGTCACCAAACAATTTGTGTATAAATTTTTGAGTGAGAAACTAATTTGCACCGTAAACTTTCACCTAAGGCACAATAAAATTAATAATAAAAAAAGATAAATTAATTTTTTTCTTTGAATATAGGCAATTAACAGACACAGGTAGCTATCCCAATTGCCAGGTGAATTTAGGATGAACTATGTATGACAGGGAGTCCTTGGGTGGCACAAATGGTTAAGTGCTCGACTACTAGCTGAAAGGGTGGTAGTTTGAATCTACCCAGAGGCACCTCAGAAGGCAGGCCTCATGATCTACTTCCAGAAGGTCACAGTCTTGAAAATCCCATGGAGCAGTTCTACTCTGCACACGTAGGGTCACCATGAGTCGAAATCGACTTGATGGTAACTAACAATAACATGTATGACAAATGGTGCTGTCAGGTACTCTTATTGAGGACTAGTTGTCATTTGTTTTGTGAATATGTATGAAATGGGATGCATCTGCTTGGCTATATGAAAGGGTAAAAGTCCTTTCTGTCTTCGCAATCTCTTTGACAAATTGACTATGATATGCATCACATGTGGTTTAATGCTTACTCAGTGATAAGACTGTATTCTTCCACTTTTGTGGAAAGTTTATTTGCAACGGCAGGATATTTTAATTATGCTTCCCCAACAATGCACAGAGAAGTGAAAAAATTAAGTTGCTCTGTGCGTATGTTCCCAGCTGAGGTTGAAAAAAATGATCCTGCCTTCTTGTTTCAGCTCTCATATGGTAAACAAGTGTCCTCTTTTCAGTCATTTAGTGCCACATTTTCCACATTTTTGTGCATTTTGTTGATGATTTTTCCATTTAAAATGACTCTCAAGTTTAGTGCTGAACTGCTGTCTAGCAATTCTAAGTGCAAGAAGGCTGTGATGCTCCTTATAGAGAAAATACGTGTGTTAGATGAGCTTCATTCAGGCATGAGCGATAGTGCTCTTGGCTCTGAATTATGTTACTAAATCAGTATATATTAAAGGGTCCCTGAGTGACGCAAATGGTTTGCCCTCAGCTACTAACCTAAAAGGTGGCAGTTCAAATTCATTCAGCAGCACCGTGGAAGAAAGGCCTGGTGATCTGTTTTTGTAAAGATTACAGCCAAGAAAACACTATGGAGCAGTTCTACCCTGTAACATACGGGTCACCATGAGTTTGAATTGACTCAATGGCAATAGGTTTAGTTTTTTGGTTTTATATGTTAAATAAGGTTTCTTTAAACAGAAACACACATAAAAATAAGGTTATGTATTGATCAGTTGACAAAAATATTGTGATCAGAGGCTCACAGGAATCTAACCCTGTGTTTCTTCTATACCATTGGTTCAGTATTCATTAATTCAGTGTGTTTGGCAACTTTATAGAACATACTTCCTGGGAATAATGAGAATCAACTCCATGTATATAAGACAGACTAGGAAGAAAGGCCTGACAGTCTACCTCTGAAAATCAGCCAGTCAAAACTCTGTGGATCACAGTAGTTTGATTCCATTGTGTGTGGGGTTGCCATGAGTTGAGGGCTGGCTCTGCAGTAGCTAACAAGAAAACAACAACGTAGGGACTACATATACGTACATACACACATGTATTCCAAACAGTTAGTGCGCTTAGTTGCTAACCGAAAGGCTGGAGGTTTGAGTCCACCCGGAGGTGCCATGGAAGAAAAGCTTGGCAATCTATTTCTGAAAAATCAGCCACTGGAAGCCCTGTGAAACACAGTTTTACTCTGACACATGGGGTAGCCATGGAGTTGGAACCAACTTGATGGCAACTGGTTATGTATGCACATACATGCCCATAAACCTGTTGCTGTCTAGTTGATTCCAACTTATAGCAACTTATAGCAAGTAGAGCTGCCCCATAGGGTTTCCAAGGCTGTAATATTTACAGAAACAGACTGCCACATCTTTCTCTAGTGAAGTGGCTGGTGGATTTGAACTGCTGACCTTTTGGTTATCAGTCGAGTGCTTTAACCACTGTGCCAACAGGGCTCCTATACATGTGTACGTGTACGTGTACGTGTGTGTGTGTGTGTGTGTGTGTGTGTGTGTTTGTGTGTGTGTGTGTGTGTGTGTGTGTGTGTGTGTGTGTACGTACGTACGTACACTGCCTTATACGGTTTTCTCGGCTGTAATCTTTTATGGGAGCAGACTGCCAGGACTTTCTTCTTCAGAGCTACTGGTGGGTTCAAACCTCTAATCTTTTGGTTAGCACCACGAGGGCTCTTCTACATATATATAGACACACACGTATATACGTATATTCACATATACACCCATGGGTATATAATAAGAGCTTAACAAATGCTTTTAAATAAGTAAGTCAGTGAATGAATAAAAAGATACATACCATCTGACCTGAAATCATCAGCTTTACTCATTACTTCAAAGGTGAGAAAATTAGCCAGCTTATTAAAGAACTACAGTAATGGATTTTATTTTATGTTTAAATTTCATTTGTATTTTCGTATGCCAAAAAAGATAATGAAAAATGGCCTAATACCTCATTTGCTCCCCTCATAACTTCATTGACTCTATCCCATAATCGTAATCCCATTTAAGTGCATTCTGAAGTTAGAGAAGATAAATAAATATTGGTAATGAACCTTTAAAGAATTTTTCCTTGGCATACGTTGTCTTCTATGTTTCATTTTACTTAATGATAAAAAATACTGATTGGTTAGAAAGGCAACTTTTGGCATTTCTAAGATAGGTATGACGATATCTGATAAAAAGAAATAATCACTGACAAATTATGCAGAAGCTGTCCTGCATATTTTTTGTTTTAATGTTGAGAGTCCCATAATTTGTGTTAACTTTGACGAATACCCTCTTTCTTTTTCTTATTCTCAGTTCCTCGATGTTTGGGTATGAATGCATCAGTGACAATTGAAGGAACATCCTCTATGTACAAGCTCCCAATTGCACCATTAATTATGGGGTCACATCCAGTTGACAACAAGTGGTAAGTTAAATATAATTCTAGGGTAGCAAGTCTTATTTTTTCAGTTTCAAGTTCAGTATGAAACAAGTGTTACTTTTACTTGGCTCTCCCCCAACTTGAATTTCTAGAGATTGGCTTTTTGTTTTATCCATGTAATTTCCCTTTTGTTCAGTATCTATTTGAATGTTTATCTCTGAATTTTACTCATAGAGCGCATTCCCTGCCTTGAGAGAGAAAAGAGAAAACTGTGCTAATTCCTCTGGTTTAGTGATTGCTCCCTTTTTATCTTATGGGACTTACGATGTTCATTTGGGGTTATATTATAATAACTAGAGAACATGCCTCAGGATATAATGTTTGATTAAATACTTCAGGATTAACAAATAGGATGTTTCAGAAATAGGGGAAGGAAGTTCAAAGACTGAGCTTTTGATAGACTTTGTAAGTATGTGTCTGTGTGATATATACATGTCTAAACATGGGTGTTAGGGTTTTTCATTTTCCTATTAAGTCAAAATCCAACCCTCTCCCCTTTTTTTGAAGGACCCCCTCCTTTTCCTCAATCACCAGTGCCAACAGTGTTGATCTTCCTGCCTGTTTTTTCTTGAAATTTCCCCAGCCAATCCCAGTATCTAGAGCATTTGTTCAGAAACTTCAGAACTGCACAGGTGAGTTTTAAGCACCAGGAGCTAATACTTGTTATATCTTGAAAAGGAAACTTCAAATTCCTATTATCTTAGACCTCTTCTAGTCTTGTAGCTCTCAAAGAAGTACTGATAAATGTAGATATCATTATGCTTTATGCTAGTAAATGCTTAGTAAATTCTTCTTGAATAAGTGAGTAAATGAATGTAGAAATCATGAAGGGAAAACTGAGCTGTCAATGTTTTGCTCTCAGTGTGACCATTACCCTGATCCCTGCTTCTTTAGGAATTCCATTGTTTGAAGCCCAACCAACTTATGTACCCCTCTATGAACTCATCACTCAGTTTGAGCTGTCAAAGGACCCTGACCCCATACCTTTGAATCACAACATGCGATTTTATGCGGTAAGTAAGGCGCTATGAAGGTCCCTGGGTATAGTTTGCACATGACAACTAATCAAAAGGTTGGTGTTTCAAACCCACTCAGGGGTGCCATGGAGGAAGGGCCTGGTGATCTGCTTCCATAAAGATTACAGCCAAGAAAACCCTATGGAGCTCAGTTCTACTCTAACTCATGGGTTCGCCATGGGTCGGGGTTGACTTGGCAGCAATGGGGGAAAAAAAGCCCTAAGAAGCTAGAGTGTTGTAGGTGGTGATTGGATCCAAGATCACATTTTTCCTTTATAGGATTATTGAGGTCAGATAATTTTCTTTTGGAATGCTGTTCCTTTTTGAACAGTCAGACAGAAGATTGCAGAAATCTTTGAAAAATATTGAAGAGGGCGTGAGCTTTTAAGCCAGGAAACAACAGTAAATATTTCATTGTTTAAATCTCAGATGAAAGGTTCTTAACATTATTTGAACTTTCACAGGCTTGTAAGTGAGTTTTAAGAATTCCTGTTCTTCTTTCAAGTGTCATGAGTTTATAACCTGGAAAGGTCTTTAAGTACATACAGAGAAGAAAGTGCTGGAATGAATAAACTATGGAAGGTTCTAAAACCTCATCTGGGCTTGAAGTGATTTGAATGTTTGAAGATGATCTAGACTCAAGTTGTAGTTCCCAAATTTTGGCTGCATTATAATTATATAGGGTGTTTCTTAAAAATACAGATTTTTCAGTTATGGTTCAGGAAGCTCTTTTACACAGTTTTGTTTTTTTTTTTAATAATATTTTATTGTGTTTAAGGTGAAGGTTTACACAGCAAAATTAGGTTCCCATTTAACAATTTGTACACAGATTATTCAGTGATATTGGTTACATTTTTCACAATGTGTCGTCATTCTCATTCATTCTGTTCTGGTTTTCCCATTTCCAGTACTCTAGTTCCCTGTCCCCTTACCTTCTCATCTTTACTTTAGAGTAATTTTGTCCATTTGGTCTCATATAGTTGATTTTTCAAAGGAGCACAGTACTCATGGGTGATACTCTTTATTTTATGACCCAATCTGTTATTAGCTAAAAGGTGACCTCAAGGGATAATTTTGGTTTAAGGTTTAAAGAGTATCTCAGGGCAGTAGTCTGGGGGAAGTCCTCTAGTCTCAACTGGTCCATAAGTCTGGACTTTTTAAGAATTTGAGTTCTGTTCCACATTTTTCTCCCATTCTGTTAGGATCCATCTGTTGTGGCCCTGATCAGAATGGTTGGTAGTGGTAGCTGGCACCATCTAGTTCTTCTGGTCTTAGGGTAGATGAGGCCGTGGTTTGTGTAGACTATTAGACTCCTTTCTTCTCTGAGTCTTTGGTTTCCTTCTTTCTCTTTTGTTCCAGATGGCTAGAGACCAATAGTTGTATCTTAGATGGCTGCTCACAAGTTTTTAAGACCTCAGGCACTACTCACCACATTGGGATATAGAACATACACTTTATGAACTATATTATGCCAATTAACTGAGTTGTCCCATGAGACCATGGTCCTAAGCCTTCAAACTCAGAAAACTAGTCTCTCGAGGTATTTGGTTATGTCTAAGAAGTATCTGTAACTCTGTTCCCTATGTGGTTTATTATATATGTGGATATACATGCATGCACACACACACCTGTGTGTACATGTCTATAGAGAACATCTATCTGTGCACACACGTATACCACACATGTATTTTTTGATGTTGGTGTTTTTACCCAGATTTCTGAGGTATGTTTTATGTTAGCTAGTTTAGGAAACCACTAGCATAGAGCATTTACTATAAGGGGTCTGTTATGGATTGAATTATGTCCCTCAAAAATATGTGTTGTAAATCCTAACCTCTAAGCCTGTGGTTATAATCCCATTTGGGGATGGGTTGTCTTTGTTTTGTTAATAAGGCAGGATTAGTGTAGGGTGTATCTTGAGTGAATCTCTTAGAGTTTAAAAAAAAGTGAGCAGAGGAGAGATGGGGTAAGATAGATGCCAAGATACATGGAGATCTCCAAGGACCCAGGAAGCAGAAGCTAAAGAGACAAGGCCAGAGCCGACAGAGAAAATCTTCGCCTAGAGCTGGCACCCTGAATTCAGACTTCTAGCCTCCTAAACTGTGAGAAAATAAATTTCTGTTTGTTAAAGCCATCCACTTGTGCTATTTCTGTTACAACAGCTCTAGATAACTAAGACAGGATCTTTTTAGCCAAATGAGTAACTGGCATTTGTAATATCAGCTGACCAAAGAATTCAGTATGGAGTTTTATTTTTCCCCAAGACTTTAATGCTTTTTTTTTTTTTTTTTTTTTTTGAGGATTAGGTGTTTTTTTTTTGAGGCTAGTTTGTGGCTGGAGTACAATGGGTGAGTAACATTTTGTTGCTTTGTTCGTTTTTGCCCAGGCTCTCCCAGGCCAGCAGCACTGCTATTTCCTCAACAAGGATGCTCCTCTTCCAGATGGCCGAAGTCTACAGGGAACCCTTGTTAGCAAAATCACTTTTCAGCACCCTGGCCGGGTTCCTCTTATCCTAAATCTGATCAGACACCAAGTGGCCTATAATACCCTAATTGGAAGCTGTGTCAAAAGAACTATTCTGAAAGAAGGTACTGCCTTTCCTTTTGATATATTTACTAGCAGATAGATACCAGCTACTCCAGTGTTCTTTAATTTGGTGACACATCAAAATTACCGGTGGAGCTTTTAAAAATATAGATGCTTGGAGCTCTGGTGGCACGGTGATTAAGAGATCGACTGCTAACCAAAAGGTTGGCAGTTCGAATTCACTAGCCACTCCTTGGATTTCCCATGGGGACAGTTCTGTTCTGTCATGTAAGGTCACTATGAGTCAACAGTGGCAACGGGGTTGTTTTTTTTTTTTTGGTTCCCACACCCAGATGGTCTGGATTAGAACCTCAGTTGGAGGAGTTGGGAATCTAGTTTAAACCTCACAAATGATGTTGATGGAACCAATCTGTAGATTGGCATTTGGGAACACTGTTTTATTGTAGTGCGTGTATGGTTTTTCTGTACACAGTAATATAATTGGGTCTCTTAGGACCTGTACCTTGCAGTAGATATATCAGGTAGAAGTTAGAATGTCATTGTGACAGAGGATTTCTTGATAGCTAAATTTTTGGTTGTTAGGACAGTGCTTTCCATGTTTAGTCCTGGGTACATTTCCCTTCCCATTCTTTGGTGAACTTTAATCATATAGTTTAAAAACAGGTGTACTCTGTGCTGCTGCACCTCCCACCCCCCACCCCTCCACCCGCTCCAAATCCTGGAATGTTGATCTTTTTCACACACAGCTGGCCATTAGGAGCCTTGATGTGAATTTTGGCTGCTCCAGCTAACCACAGTTAATTGTTTACCTTTAGTTGTAAAACACTTCAGTGAGAGATACGTATCAGTGCAAATGGGTAGGCAAGCAGAAACTGGAAAGGTAAATCAAGATACCTTTCATAGGAACAAGAATTGCTTTAGAAATGAGAAACTTTTGAGAGTTGGAATAATGGCATAGAGCATATGCTAGCACATTTGTGGCTCTGCTATTTCATGTGCTTGTATCCTAGGAGAATTTTCCAAATAGGCTCAGGACATTAAAAACAGTTTTTCATGGGGTAGTTATGGAGCCAGTCCTACAAAGAAGCATGCTTTTCTCCAAGAAGTGTATGATCCTTATCTCTGGGCTGCCAGAACATTTTGATTAGGAACCTATGATGATTGGTTATGTGTGCATTTGGCATAAATATATCATTTTAGATTGTAGCCTCTACATCCCTTCTTCACCAAGCTACCGGGCTACTTAACTAACAGCTGCAAACACTGATAGAAAACAGGGTTTATGGCAGTGAATCTGGATGTGTGTTTATCAAATAGAATGAGAAACTTCTCTTGGTCACTTTATTTTCAGAATTCACTTTCAAAATGGTATTTATCTCTGCCAATGTCTTTTACACTTTAGGGATTAAATCAGTTTTTACTTTAGAAAATTGGAAGTTTATAATTTTTTGTTTTGGAGAAATTTACACCATAAATGTGTGGATACCTTAGATTGTGATTCCTCCTCTGTCACCTCTGTGGATAACACTGCAGTTACTGTGAAAAAATGTGAAATTTAGTTTCCAAGGAGAGAAAGAATTTCATTCTGTATATTTAGAGATTATTATTTATTGTCTCGTCTTATATTTGGTTGATTGTTTTATGATCCTTTTCTTTGCCTTTTAGATTCTCCTGGACTCCTCCAATTTGAGGTGTGTCCCCTCTCAGAGTCTCGTTTCAGTGTGTCTTTTCAGCACCCTGTAAATGACTCCCTGGTGTGTGGTAAGTTGTGTGGGTTGCTTGCTCATGGGAGCAGTTTGGTCCTTGTATCTTTTTTGGAAAGTCAGAAGCTGAATCAATTCCAAATATCTCCTGTATATTTTGTCTTTCAGTGGTAATGGACGTGCAGGACTCAACACATGTGAGCTGTAAACTCTACAAGGGGCTGTCAGATGCACTCATCTGCACAGATGACTTCATTGCCAAAGTTGTTCAAAGGTAGCACTAGCCCTTTTCCATCAGAGTCCCATTAAGGGATGTATAAGGAGTGCTGTTTTCAGAATTAGGGTGAATTGGAAATTTAAGAGGAAAACATTGAAGTCACTGCTTTGAATTTCGCTTTTTTTCCCAATTCAAAGGCAATTTAAGCTTTGTTTAGTAATATATTTATTGTTGTTAATATCACTATGAGAGTAATAGGAGGTAAGGTAGGTAACTTGAGGCCTGCCACTAGGGTACTTTTAGGAGGGAGAGAGTGAAATTAGGTGTAGATTTTTTTTCACCTATCCTTTATGCTGCTTTTTAATATATAACTTGTCAAATGGTATTGTGTGGGAAGATACTTAAGCCAGTCACCTTTCCAGAAACATTATTAATACGTAATTTTGAGAATTTTCTAGAGCAAGGGCCAATGGCCTAATTTTGTACATAAATTTTATTGGAACATAGCCACTTCCATTTATTTATATACTGTCTATGGCTGTTTTCTGCTATGATAGCAGAGCTGAATAGTTGTGACAGAGACCATATGATCCACAAAGTCTAAAATACTTAGGATCTTAAGAAAAAGCTTTCTGACACAAGTTTACTAGAGCAAAATGTTTTTAAACCAGGTGCTTATAAATTTATCTATAAAACAAAAAGTGCTTTGCCTTAAACAGGATTTCATAGTAGCAGTAGCACTTCTCAAAACAGCCGTAGCTTTGGTGTTATCTAAGCCATTAAGGTTTAGAACTTGATGGGTCAAGAGATTTTTTTAGTGGTTTATTAGTTAAATCATATACCCCATTAATTAACATGTGAAGCCTCAAAAGGAAGGCATTTTCTTACTGAGTTCCATTATTACCAGTGCTGTTTTTTTTTTTTTAGCTTCAATATGAAATTAAATTATTTCAACTGTTGTTTGTGTTTTCTTTTTGGTGAGTACTTCATAATAAAGTTGATGATTCCCTACAGAGTTTTTTAGAATGAACTTAGCCAAAGCTCTGCATTTGATAGTACTGCTTCTGTTTTTCAAGTTACTTGTATCACCTGAAAACTTCTTGATGGCTTATCAGACAAAATCAAATTTTCCCAAATGAAAATTGGTTTCATTCATTAGCTGGTGCAATCAACGTTAACTTTGTTTTTCCCATATTCTCTTATAGATGTATGTCCATCCCTGTGACGATGAGGGCTATTCGGAGGAAAGCTGAAACCATTCAGGCCGACACCCCAGCCCTGTCCCTCATTGCAGAAACAGTTGAAGACATGGTGAAAAAGAACCTGCCCCCGGCTAGCAGCCCAGGGTATGGCATGACCACAGGCAACAACCCAATGAGTGGTACCACTACACCAACCAACACCTTTCCGGGGGGTCCCATTACCACCTTGTTTAATATGAGCATGAGCATCAAAGATCGGCATGAGTCGGTGGGCCATGGGGAGGACTTCAGCAAGGTGTCTCAGAACCCAATTCTTACCAGTTTGTTGCAAATCACAGGGAACGGGGGGTCTACCATTGGCTCGAGTCCGACCCCTCCTCATCACACGCCGCCACCTGTCTCCTCGATGGCCGGCAACACCAAGAACCACCCGATGCTCATGAACCTTCTTAAAGACAATCCTGCCCAGGATTTCTCAACCCTTTATGGAAGCAGCCCTTTAGAAAGGCAGAACTCCTCTTCTGGCTCACCCCGGATGGAAATGTGCTCGGGGAGCAACAAGACAAAGAAGAAGAAGTCATCAAGATTACCACCTGACAAACCCAAGCACCAGACTGAAGATGACTTTCAGAGGGAGCTATTTTCAATGGATGTTGACTCACAGAACCCTATCTTTGATGTCAACATGACAGCTGACACTTTGGATACTCCACATATCACTCCAGCTCCAAGCCAGTGTAGCACTCCCCCAACAACTTACCCACAACCAATACCTCACCCCCAGCCCAGTATTCAAAGGATGGTCCGACTGTCCAGTTCAGACAGCATTGGCCCAGATGTAACTGATATCCTTTCAGACATTGCAGAAGAAGCCTCTAAGCTTCCCAGCACTAGTGATGACTGCCCACCCATTGGCACCCCTGTTCGAGATTCTTCAAGCTCTGGGCATTCTCAGAGTGCCCTCTTTGACCCTGATGTCTTTCAAACCAATAATAATGAAAATCCATACACTGATCCAGCTGACCTTATTGCAGATGCTGCTGGAAGCCCCAGTAGTGACTCTCCTACCAATCATTTTTTTCCTGATGGAGTAGATTTCAATCCTGATTTATTGAACAGCCAAAGCCAAAGTGGTTTTGGAGAAGAATACTTTGATGAAAGCAGCCAAAGTGGGGATAATGATGATTTCAAAGGATTTGCATCCCAGGCACTAAATACTCTGGGGGTGCCAATGCTTGGAGGTGATAATGGAGACACTAAGTTTAAAGGCAATAGCCAAGCTGATACCGTTGATTTCAGTATTATAGCAGTGGCTGGTAAGGCTTTGGGTCCTGCAGATATTATGGAGCATCATAGTGGTAGCCAGAGTCCTTTATTGACCACTGGGGACTTAGGCAAAGAAAAGTCTCAAAAGAGGGTAAAGGAAGGCAATGGCACCAGTAATAGTAGTCTGTCAGGGCCAGGATTAGACAGCAAGCCAGGGAAACGCAGTCGGACCCCTTCTAATGATGGCAAAAGCAAAGATAAGCCTCCAAAGCGGAAGAAGGCAGACACTGAGGGAAAATCTCCATCTCACAGTTCTTCTAACCGACCTTTCACCCCACCTACCAGTACAGGTGGATCCAAATCTCCAGGCAGCTCAGGAAGATCTCAGACTCCCCCAGGTGTTGCTACACCACCCATTCCCAAAATCACTATTCAGATTCCCAAGGGGACAGTGATGGTGGGCAAGTCCTCCTCTCACAATCAGTACACCAGCAGTGGTTCTGTGTCTTCCTCAGGCAGTAAAAGCCACCATAGCCATTCTTCTTCCTCCTCGTCCTCTGCTTCCGCCTCAGGCAAGATGAAAAGCAGTAAATCAGAAGGTTCATCCAGTTCCAAGTTAAGTAGCAGTATGTATTCTAGCCAAGGGTCTTCTGGATCTAGCCAGTCCAAAAATTCATCCCAGTCTGGGGGGAAGCCAGGCTCCTCTCCCATTACCAAGCATGGACTGAGCAGTGGCTCCAGCAGCACCAAGATGAAACCTCAAGGGAAGCCATCAACACTTATGAATCCTTCTCTAAGTAAACCAAACATATCCCCGTCTCATTCAAGGCCACCTGGAGCCTCTGATAAGCTTTCCTCTCCAATGAAGCCTATTCCAGGGACTCCCCCATCCTCTAAAGCCAAGTCCCCTATCAGTTCAGGTTCTGGTGGTTCTCATATATCTGGAACTAGTTCAAGCTCTGGCATGAAATCATCTTCAGGGTTAGGATCCTCAGGGTCATTGTCCCAGAAAACTCCTCCATCATCTAATTCTTGTACAGCATCTTCCTCTTCCTTTTCCTCAAGTGGCTCTTCCATGTCATCCTCTCAGAACCAGCATGGGAGTTCCAAAGGGAAATCTCCCAGCAGAAATAAGAAGCCGTCCTTAACAGCAGTCATAGATAAACTGAAGCATGGAGTTGTCACCAGTGGCCCTGGAGGGGAAGACCAGATGGATGGCCAGATGGGGGTGAGCACAAATTCTAGCCATTCCATGTCCTCCAAACATAACATGTCAGGAGGAGAGTTCCAGGGCAAGCGTGAGAAAAGTGATAAAGACAAATCAAAGGTTTCCACCTCGGGGGGCTCAGTGGATTCTTCCAAGAAGACTTCAGAGTCAAAAAATGTGGGGAGCACAGGTGTGGCAAAGATTATCATCAGCAAACATGATGGAGGGTCCCCCAGCATTAAGGCCAAAGTGACTCTGCAGAAACCTGGCGAAAGTAGTGGAGAAGGGCTCAGGCCTCAGATGGCCTCTTCCAAAAACTATGGCTCTCCACTCATCAGTGGTTCCACTCCAAAGCATGAGCGTGGCTCTCCCAGCCATAGTAAGTCACCAGCATACACCCCCCAGAATCTGGACAGTGAAAGTGAGTCAGGCTCCTCCATAGCAGAAAAATCTTATCAGAACAGTCCCAGCTCAGATGATGGCATCCGACCACTTCCAGAATACAGCACAGAGAAGCATAGGAAGCACAAAAAAGAAAAGAAGAAAGTAAAAGACAAAGACAGGGACCGGGACCGGGATAAAGACCGAGACAAGAAAAAATCTCATAGCATCAAGCCAGAGAATTGGTCTAAATCGCCCATCTCTTCAGACCAGTCCTTGTCTATGACAAGTAACACGATCTTATCTGCAGACAGACCCTCAAGGCTCAGCCCTGACTTTATGATTGGGGAGGAAGATGATGATCTTATGGATGTGGCCCTGATTGGCAATTAGGAACTTTATTTTCTAAAACAAAACACATGGCCAGAGAAAAGCAAATAGTATGTTTGTGGGAAAACCACCATAAGGGGTGAGTCAGACAGGTCTGATTTGTGTTTAAAAATTTGAAATGGCATGGCTTTGACACTGAGCTGGGTGAATTTAGAAAGGCATAGCCAGACCCTACTAAAAAGACCACAGGGTTTGATTCTGGTTACCAAGAATTCCTTGTTCCTTTGCCAGAAAAGATAAAAGTTAATATACTTGCTTAGGAAAGGGGTGGGGTGGGAGTGGGGTGGGAGGGGTGTAGGGAGAGGGAAGTGTGGGAGAATTTTGTTGGAGATATATATTTTTTTCTCCCTTTTTCCATTTTTAGGCCATGATTTAAACTCATTTTAGTGCATGTCTTTGAAGTGCTGGGCAGGACATGAAAAAGCAATACATTCCTTGATGCATTTGCATGAAGGTTGTTCACCTTTGTTTGGGTAGTTGTCCATTTGAAGCATGGGCAAATGAAGGACTTCGGTCATTCTGGACACTTAAGTAATGTTTGGTGTCTGTTTCTTAGGAGTGATTGAGGGTGGGAAAATTATTTTAGCTATTTATTTGTAATATTTTAACCCTTTTTCTGTTTGTTTTTATACAGTGTTTCTAATTCTATGAGGTTCAGGGTTCAAAATGATGGGAGACAGAAGAGCAAGGCTTATTTGGTGGTAGGGGGCTTATAGCTTGTGCTGATATTATAGCATCAAGCCCAAGCATATTAGTCAGAGCCCACCTTTGGAGTTAAGTAGAAAAACGAAAATGATATTTTTAGGTTTTTCATAGGGTTCAGACATCATAGGAATATTAGGAGTTACCTCCCTCTGGAGGTATTAATTTATACTCTTTCCCTTAAAAAGAAAAGCTGGGCTGGCTTTTTAGGATGAAAACATATTTTCAGATGAAGCAAGGTTTAATGTGGGACAGCCTCCCCAACCCAGTGGCATGAAAACCATTACAGAATTAATAGTTCTCCTATTCCCACAATGTGCCAAAAGTCCATATCCCAGCATTTTGTTTTTGGGAGAACTGATGCCATTCCTGAGAGCTGGGCTCCCTGTTTATCTTCATCACAAGGAGTCCAGACTTTTATCACTCCACTGTATGCTTCCTAAGAAAAAAGTTAAAAATTTGCAGCCATAGTTCACTTAAAACAATTTCAAGCTCACTTGAAGAAGTGGGGACCTGGAATGCTAGGTGGGCATGAAGATAAATCCTTGCTACTATGTAGCAATACAATTGGACCTTTTTGGAGAAATTGGTCTGAGTCTGGATTCTGGGGGACAGCATTAAGAAGCCCTTTTCATAAATATAGAAATTTAGGAGACTGTTTGAGTGCAACACAAGTTCTCAGTATTTGGAGGGTCCTCTCGAAATTCCGCGGCCTTATTTTGATTTTGACACCTGCACTGTGCCATTCCTGATAATTCCATTCAGGATCTGTATCAGCAGGATGGGGCATGGTCCCCAGCACAACTCTTCTGGATTAAATAAATTAAAAAAAAAAAAAAAAGCCAGGTGATTCATTTTTTTGTATGTGTGTCATAAGTGGAGTGACTTCATCAGACATGGAAGATGATTTCTATATTCAGATCTTTCTGCAGGTTGGAGTTAGCATAGAGTTGGAAAATCAGCTCTGGCTTTCTTTCCTGGACTGTCTCTGATTTCTAGTGTTCTCCCTTTTCTGGTCATCATTCTCAACAACTCTGCTACTTTTGTGTCCCAAAGTAATAAGTAGGAAACGAAACATTGCAAAGTGGAGCAAGAAGAATTACTGGTTACCATATCAGAGTCAAATGTCTTCGGTAACACTAAAGAGGACATGGGCAAAGTGATACCAGAGTGTTTATCTTGTGATGCTGATACAGTAGCAGCCTCTCAGTCATACAACAGGTTGGATTTCTCACAAGTTTGTCGCCTAGTTTTGAATCCTATCCCATTGGCTTCTGCAGGGAAAAAAAAAAACAAGGTTTTTTAAATTTGTTCTGGGTAGGGAAGATCTTAATGGGGAATGTACTGCATAATATCAGGGGCTCAGTTCCCCCAAGCAGAGCCAACAAATACCAAAATGAGTAAACTGGGAAGCTTTTTCTCTCTTTCTGTCTTCATCCCAGATCAAAGAATCCTGAGTTAGGATCTGGATGAAGGATAAGCCCCTGAATTGTCGATGGGCACACCCCACACACTGACCCAGCATCTGAACTTGCTTAACAGGGAGCCGGGGGTAAACTGCTTCACCCTGCCTGAGAACCAGGGAGCACTGCATTTCTCCACAGGGTGGAGGAGAAGAGGCAATAAACCAAGCCTGGGACACCTCCCTCCTGTCTAGGTGTACTCATTCTCCTGTTTAAAAAGACGGCAAGGACACGAAGTCAACATCTACCTATCTTCTGCTGCTGGTGTCTTATGTATTTTTGATTTGACCTGATTCCTCTTTTGTCTTTTAGCTTCATGTTAGGGGTTCTTGGTCAAAACTTGTTCTGATGTACATGGAGATTTCAAAATCATAGTGTTTTACAAGTATTTTAGAGGAAAAATACAAAGCAGGATATCATTTGCCAAAACCAGGCTTAAAGTTGGTGACTCGAAAGGATTTTCCTTTTTAAGGCCTGTGTCTGAAAATTCAGTACAGCAGTGTGAATTCTCAGAAGAAACCCTTTCAGGGAACCAGTGAGTCATGCAGTATCTACAGTTGAGTCACTTAATCATAACATATGCCAGTATAGGAAACATTCACAAACCCTGGGCAATCTTTTTTTTTTTTTTCCCTTTTCCATTCCCCATCTCTTCTACCCTTGAGTTAGTTTTTGGAGGGTAGGAGGTATGTAACATCTCAATAGCTGGGTCGGGAAACATGCTCAGATGAGATTTAAATTTTTAGTTTAAAATGTACATCAGGAGCAGTTGGGGGTGGTCTTTTTAAAAAAAAACTTTAAAATTTGATTTTCTGTGTGTATGGCCATTGTGTAAATACTTCGGGGTTTTTCATTTTTTTGAAAGTAGACAAAAATCTGTTTTGTGGGATTTTTTTCCCCCCAAAACATTACAAAACAACCTGTTTATTTACATGGAAATAAATTTCTTTGATAAAAAGTAACATGCCTATGTGTAATGAATAATTTTCATTTGATATTCAGCTTTTTAAAAATCCAGTCAAAAAGTAAAAGCATTCCGTAAGTAAATACCACTGGAAATAGATCCAGCCCTAGCATTGGAATGGATAGATAAAATAGGAAAACACCTGTGAAACAGCTTGTCTTCATTATATTTACCTGCTTGTGCCAGTCTCACTATTTTCCTTAGTCATTAATCACCAAATTCATCAGTAGTTCTTGGTGGGAAAAAAGTTTTTTGATGGAACTGAATTAAAAGGCTGTTGAAACAGTAACATTAAAACTATTGGGACAGAAGCAGAATAATATCTGTGTTTGTTGCTAGGTGCCCTGGAGTGGGTTACAACTCAGAGCGACCCTGTGTACAACAGAATGAAACACTGGCCCGTCCTGCACCAGCCTCACAAAATCATTGCTATGTTTGAGCCCACTGTTAGTCATTGTGTCAGTCCATCTGGTTGAGGTTCTTCCTCTTTTCTGCTGACACTTTACCCAGCATGATGTCCTCCTCCAGGGCTTGAGAATGAGTCTATGAGGCTAGGTTCCTTTCGTAGGAAGCCCTCTTCTAGGATATTAAAAATTTTTTTTTAATGCTTTAAGAGTTGGCAATAATAAGCCTTCCAGCTAAAATATGCCTGTTAAAGATCTCCAGCTCTGTTTGCCCTTAACTAAGTTCATTATTTAATTAGACATTCATAACAAGCCAGTCACTGCTAATTAAAAGGGGTGTGAAGACATACTGCTTTAGAAGCATACAATTAGGAGCAGTAGTCTTCCCAGAAATGCTGGAATTTATGGTAGTTTCTAATATTTTATTTTTGCGGTATCATTCCGTAGTTTGCTGTTTGAAGGGTAAAAGCCTGTATGGATTATTCTTTAATTCGTGGAAATTCGGTCATAAATTCCGAGCCCATGAAACCCAGAGTTGCTTAAGGGAAAGGGCATGATGACAGACTAGCTTCCATAGAAAGAGCCAAGGAAACGGAAGAAAATCTCAGTTTCCGCTCTGAAACGCCCCCGCCTACTTGCTGGGGCACGCTTGTTTCTCCCGCCAAAGTGGCGTCATGCTCAGGTTCTCACCAACCACCACCCTGACTGGAGGACGAGCAGGCACTGCAGCCCATTGGGTGCTAGCGGCAGCCGAGCGGCAGAGGGGCGGGGGGAGCCAAAGACTGCCCCCTTCTGCTTTGCCCGCCCCGCCCCCCACCAATCTGCTCCCCTCCCCCAGCCAAAAGAATGGTTACCCGGCTCCAGTACTGCACCTTCTGACCCCAAGACCCAGGGTGCGGCCTCTCTGCATATCCTTGGAGCAGAACGGGGCTCCTGGCCTGCCCCTCAACCCAATGGGCCCCCAGGCCTCCAGAGCCGTGCACCAGGAGACCCACGCCCCGCAGCAGGCCCCCAGGCCTCCCTGCAGCACCCCGTAATGCAATCCACGGGGGCGGGGGAGGCAGCGGCAGCAACAGCGGCAGCAGCAGCACTGCCCCAATCTAGAGACATCCAGAAAGAGGAGGAAAATGGCTCCGAGCAGGGACCGCCTGCTGCACTTTGGGTTCAAGGCGACAGTGAGTGATAAGGGAAGGGAGCTGGGTGGCCGGGAAGGATGTGTGTGCCAGCAGAAGCTACCGGGGAAGAAGTGAAAAGACTTGAGATGGGGGAACTCGATAGAAAGCTTGGGTCCTCTGTGGGTAGGTGCGTGCTTGTTTGCCGGCGAAGGGGGTAAGAGGGGTGCACGGGACAGAATAGGGGGCTCCCGTGTGTGTGCAGTTCTGCTGCTTTCCTTTTCCTCACCCGTCAGCGAGCACACGCGCACTCGCACCCTTCACGCAGTCCCCTTCCCCCCTTTTACACAAATAAACACAGACATATAGGCACTTCCCTGCCTTTCCTTCTCCCGGTGGGCTCGCCTGCCTTGAAAGCGACGGAAGCTCTTGCAGCCGCCGCCACCGCCGCCGCCGCCGCCGCGCTCGGGCTGCTCCCCGGCGGATTGTCAGGGGCTGCGCCCAGGAGTGGGGGAGGGGTGGTCTTGCGCGGCCGCCGCGCGCTCCTCCTTCTCCCCCTCCCCCCGCCATTCCGAGGCCCGGGCGGCTCTGCCCAATGAGGAGCGGTGTTGCTGGCAGGTGTGGAGTGTTTTTGTTTTGGGTTGAAGTTGAGGCTGAGGATAGAGAAGCTAGCGACGAGCAGTCGCCGTCGCCACCGCCGCCACCACCACCGCTACTGCCACCGCCACCGCCGCCGCCGCGGGAGGTGGTGGAGGCCCTGCCCTAGTGGAACGGCCTTCCCTTCCAGTCCGGCGGCCACTGCCCTGCCCTTCTTCCGCCTCCTTCCCGTCCCCGGAACTCCTCGGCCTGCCCTGGGCCCCCTGTCTTTGCACTCCACACGCCGCAGCGCCCGTCCCCGGCCGCACCCGCCGGCCCCATGAGGAGGGACGTGAACGGAGTGACCAAAAGCAGGTTTGAGGTGTGAGCTTGGGGGGGCTGGGGCGGTGTAAAGAAGGCGACTCCCGCTCTCTTAGCCTGAAAAATGAACTCCGCACGGAACCTCCTCCTTTGCGGGCACCGCCACCCATCCACCGGTGGGGCTGCCACAGTTCTGTCCCCTTTCTCCTGACCGGAAAGCCCAGTGCAGCTCGACTCCCCCAGTCACTCAGACTGCCTCCTGTCTCTTCCCACCAGCGGTCCCTGGGCCCCGCCGGGGGATTAGCCCTGGCGCCCTGATTCCGCCCTCCCCCAGTATCACTCAGCTTTCCATTCTTTACACAACCCTTGGCTTGCCGCCTCCTTCCACCCGGCAGAAAAAGCATCACAGCTCTGATCGACCAGAGCTTACTTCTTTTCTTTCTGCCTCCTTCGTGAAGCGTTTGTTGTCTGTAGAGGGGGAAATTATGGGCCGGGTTGGGGAGCATTTCTCCGAGTTTGAGAGACCTTAATTTAACTAGGGAAGTGGAGGTTGTAGACTGGGAAGATAGAGACGACCGCGGGGATTTCGGTGCTGTTTGTTTTGGGTATTGTTCTGGTACTTCCTCTTCTTTCCCGTTTAGTCTCTACTTTTGTAGCTGATTGTTTCTGGGAGCTCTTAGATGTCTGCATGCTTTGAGATTAGGACGAGGGTCTGAGAGACTTAATAAAATCCATTCAGGTCTGTTTGTCTTAGGAACTTTTTCTCCTCTGGCGAGGAAGTTTATACGGTTGTCATGGAATTGAGGAATGGAGGAGGAAATGAGAAAGCATCATCTTCTGAAAGCCTCTTTAGAGAGTAGTCACCGTGTAGGGAAGTGATTCCTTTGGGAAGTGAAGTACTGTAATTACCGATGACTAACAATAGTATAATAACATACAGAAAGGTTCATTGAGGGTATGAGAGAGAGAGACTGCTCCAAGAAGAGTAAATGTTACCTGGCCTTTTCTGGCAGACAATCAGGCTGACCTGGGATCACTCACAACTCAGTGTACATCTCACTCTGGTGTTTTTCTTCATTTCTATTTGAAGGACGAAATTGTAAGACAAAGCTTTCAGGAAACTTACTAACTAGGTGCAGGGGGTGAATATTTTAATTAAGGGTCTTCAGTTTAATCTATTCCTTGATTTCTTTCTATGCTTATGGGGGAAATATTTGAATTTATCCACACAGATCAAGATATTAAGAAGTGTTTGGGGGAAGTTTAAATTCAGAACTACAGTTGTAAGTAGGTGAAGGAGTGGAGAAAATCAAGGGATTGATCTCCTTAGTGGAATTTTCATAGCTAAATTAATCACAGGAAGGAAGTATTATGGTAGATTTGATTTGGTGTTTACTTTCATAGAACTTTGGGTTGTCCTAATGTAGAGAGACTCAATAAGGTTAATTTATGGTGGTTTCATATTCAGTACTTCTGTAAAAGTCCAGACTCATTAAGATTACTTAGTAGACATTTAGCAGTTGACAGGAATCTTGAAAGACCAAATACTGATTTGAATGGAGGGTAGTGTTTTGCCTTTCCAGCTAACTATCATTTTGCTATTCACTTTAGGTAGGATGAGTAATTGTTGGAAACAATCCTTTTGTGATACGTCCCTTAAAATTACATTGCTGTTTCCTGTTTTTATAATTGTTTCATATTTTATAGTTTATTTGCAGCTGTGGTATACTTTAATAAGGATATTTATTGCTTTATTAAGCATATTTATGTACCTTGATTAGTAATGTACCCGACAACTATAAGCTTTATAAATATGATCTGAGAAGGTGGAAAACCTTCTTGTACAGTGTTCATGATTAAAGTGTTTGTTTATAAACCAAAAGCTATTCTTCTATTATGATGTGAAATGTTCCATGCTAGAATAGAAATGAGAAAGACTGAAAATGATACGTGTTAATAAGTTTCATTATCTGAATATTTCTTAAAAGCATTTACCTCTTTATTGACCTAGTATACAGATAGTAAAACAGTAAACTGTTTGGTCTCTTGTAATGTAATAAACTTATTGCTGATTCATTGAAAGTGTTCACTTTCAATTGATAAAAGATGCAGGTAAAGTAAAACAGCCTGTTCATATCTAAAATTTTTACATCAGATGATTTTTTTTAAATCCTCAAAATTATAGAATGATTCTTAAAAGGCTGATGATTTATGATCGTAGGCAGATAGCTAGTCTCTGAATGAGAATTTTTGTAAGTGCCGGAAATCTTTGTAGCAAGTAATAGCTAATTTCAAATTGTGGTCATGGTTAAGACAAAAAGTGAAAGATTTCTTTTTCTTGGCCATGTTTTTTCTAGGGGGAAGGTAACTGAAGCTTATGATCTTTTTATGGTTGATCCATTAAAATCCCTTTATAAGGGAATATTCTGTGTGGTATGCTTTTACATGTTGTACCTAGAAGCCACACTAGATCTCACACTCAGAGGTAGGGCTATAGGAAAAAAAAAAATTAAGTTAAAGTCAAGGGAGAGTACCTGTGAAATAGATACGAAGCATCCTTTAGAATAGCCAAAGTAGATGACACTTGGATAAGTAATTAAGGAGAAATAGGGATGTGAAATTCTTGTTGTCCCTTGCTGAATGGTGTTGGCATTAAATCTATACAACAATAACCCACACAGTGTATGGTGAATTGCTTTAGTCTCTTAATTGAAATTCATCATTCAAATACTTTTTATTATATTGCTTATGGTGACCTTTGCTTTGTGGCAAATTTTAATAATTTCCATTCAAATTTAATAATGGTTATTTACTGCTTGCGATATGCCAGACACTGAGCTAGATGTTTTACCTTGGTTATGTCTAATTCGCACGATTAATTCTATTTTACAGCTAAGGAAAGTGAAGGCCTGAGAGGTTAAGGTGTTCAAGTTGCACACCTAGTAAGCCAAGATTCTAATCTACTTTTTTTAAAATCCACTCTATCATCCTCCTCTTTTCTTAGCATAATTTAGCATAAAAGCCATGAAATGAATGTGTGGCAAAGGTATTTTTTAAAGTTCTTCATCCAGTATATTTTATTTTGTCTTTGCTATCAAGAGAATGAATCTATCTTTCATTTTAAATACTATAACCAACATTATCTTAACACTTCAGTGAGATTAGTGAGAGACAGTGTAAAGGCTAGCACTTGAATCCAAGTTTAGATTTTTTTTCCCCCAGTTAAACCTCTCCACTTTGTCTTATTCTCTTAGTTATTCCATTATGATGATGTAGTACTATTGGAGAAAAAATGCTAGTTTATTAAAAAGTCTAATTTTAGAAACTGTTGTAGTGGTAACTGTAACTGACATTTAGATACCACTTTACAGTTTAATCATTGACTGGAGACGTTAAGGCTCATAAAGTTAGGAAGTGGTTAAGCACCAATTTAGGTATTTTAAATCCATGTTCGTTGTTGGAATCCGTGTTAGGTATTTTGAATCTGTGTTCATTGTTGTTTTTTAATACACATCACTGCCTCTCTTATAAACCTATAATATTGTAACCTATAAGATAAGGTTGTAGTATTTCTTTGCCTGTTTGCTTCATTTAATCAATTCAGTTTATCCGAAATAACAAAAAAGAGAAAGTAATGTTAAGTGGCATAGCAGAAAGAACATAGTGCATTGGGAGTTAAGGATCTGGCTGTTAGTTAATCTTGATTTTCACCACCAGCTAACTGTAATTTTGGTCTTTTCTTTTCATTTCTCTGGCTTGGTCATTTCCTTCCTCTGTGAAACAAAATAGTTACAGTCAATCATTAAGGTTCCTTTTGTTCCAGAATGCTATGAATCTATAGTTTTTGAATAAAAAACAGAAGACCATATTTCCTTGGCAGGCCTAGTCTCACAATATTATTAAAGCTGCAGTAATGACCTTTTTTTCCCCCCTTAAAGTTTTATTCTCTAACCTTCTGCATAATAAATACATATTTTCCAAATAGGTGCATGTGGAAAATGTTATATATTTTTCCAGTGGGTGAGAGTCATTTGTTTTATTGTATTTGAAAAGTTGCAGTGGGGAAGAGTACTAGTAAAACTAAGGAATTTTCTTTTTATACTCAAATCTGTCTTGAAAGAAGTACAGCCAGAATGCTCCTTAGAAGCAAGGATGGCGAGACTTCA